ACAGATGAATTTCAGGTTCACCAGCTCAAATCAAGAGCCACAGCCACGATGAACATCACCAAGATAAATGATAGGAATGAAAAAGCTTAAAACCAGAATGAAATCAGTAGCTAACAATTGAGAATCATTGGCCTCAAGCATGTTTTAAGTGATCTACCTTGACAGATCACCAGATATTGCCTTAATTAAGGGGAAGCAATATGAGAAGAAAGTCTTTGTGGACACCTCAAGTATAAGCAATAATATATTACATTACATTACATATTATGTTAATATTTGTATGATTTATGAAATTTAGCTTTAAGAATTTCTCAGTCAAAAATTCTTAAATTGTCCCTTTCATTGTTATGAATTCATTAGACATCTTGCAGTTAATTCTGAGTTGAAATTCAGGTAAGCAATCTCAGTTATAACATATAGATCACTTAGCACTCTGTTGTTAATAAATGGCTATGCCTGTGCTGCTTATTAGTGTAGGATGCCCTAACTGGTTTCTTTTTGCCTTCTCAGAATGGCTGCTTCTCATCTGAGCTTTTGGTTCCTTTTGGAAAAGTACATTTCCTAATTATTTTCTTTATGGCAATGCCCAGTTTACCATTGTATAAAACCTCAAGAATTACAATGACATATCTTATTTCTGTATTATTTTGTTTGTTTATTAAAAATTAGACTTCATTTTCTGTGTCTTATTCCTGCAGAAGCTATAAAGCTGTTCTTGTGGAGACAATCCCCTGAACCTCATATTTTCATCAGGTCAGCAAAGTGATGGTGATCTGCTCTAAGAGTATGGGCCTTCCAAACTCATGCTGTGGACCTCTGAAACAGATTTAGGCAACTGTGGAAGTTGCTCAATGGAGATCCTTCTTTTCAAACTTTGTATCTACATAGACTTTATGTTTAATCCCACGAGCTACTACTGACACACAAACAACATTATAAACCCATTGGGATCAAACCTTAAGAAGCTAAACCAAACTGAATCGTTCTCTACATTTCTTCACTCTTGCTTATCTCTATTTTACCTTTTAAATGTTAACTAGCAGAACAGACATGGTCATGTATGATTTCTACTGCTACTAACTTAAAACAAGTCAATTATAAAGAGGGATTTTTCAATTAGTTGTTGTTTGATAGATTTAATAAATACAATATGATATATTAAAGGTTAAAATTTTGTTTTACATTTGAATAACTAATCTCAACTAACATTCTTCTCTTCATTTAAGTACAAAACAATTGTCCTCTGAATACATAAATATTGTGTAGAGGTTCAGCAATGCACTGCCATCTTTCAGATGTTTAGAGGAGGAAAGACAATGTGACAAGAAGAGACCATATTCCCTCCCAACACCGCAACGTTTTTATTTTTATGCATTTTTATTTTTAATTTCATATCCTTAGAAAGCAGGTTGCTGCCACACCAGGCAGAGAAGAAGCAACCTCTATTTTCTCCAGGAAAAACCAAAGACAAAATTTAGTAAAATCATCATGGTGTCCTACCCAAAATTAACTTTATCTCTAAAGAGTAGAGGCAATCCTTTCCTTGGCAAAACCCATCAACCCAGTGTGTTTGGCTGGCACCTCGGCTGACATGGCTAATCAAGCTCAATGCAGCACACTTCTTCCTTGTCCCCACCCCTGAAAAAAAACCCGAAAAGAAGAATATGTGTCAATGAGTTGGGTAAGGTTAGGCAACAGAAATCCCCACAAGTGTGCTGCAGTCAGAGGCACAGCTCTTGCCTTTGAGAGTGCTGGAACAAATGCCTGGTCCCCCGTGAATTGCATTTTGGGGTAAAGTGCAATATTCAGAGAAGCTTTCTTGTGGTTGGGTCTTTTGGGGCTTCTCTTGCTCTCTACCCATCCTTCTGCCAATTCCTTTTACTTCTGTGTGTAAGGACTCGTGCTGCAATGCTACCTTCAGTGAGTTTTCCTGGGAGTAATTTCTGGTTCTCTTTTTCTGCACGAGAACATGTAATTTCCATGAAACTTGTTGGAATTTTGTAGTCTGTGAGACCCCTCCCTTTGTACCAGATTTGCTTGGCACTGAGTAAAAAATGAAGAAGTAATTAGGAAAAAGACAGAAGAACAGACTGATAGACTGCACAGGCACGTGAACACACACCTTCACATACACAGTCCTCCTCTGGAGAAGAGGGCAGTTTGAAAGTGACACATCCTCTGCACTAAGGTATTGAGTGGTATTCAGGACAAATATAATGAACTTGAACATCTTAGAATTATCTTTGGCTTCTCAACATGCAGGCTACAGTTTTGCCTGTCCTATTGCTGTGTTTGCTAACTTTACTCATACATTACTTTACTTTACTTTACTTTACACATCATTACCTACCACATTAAACCTCTCATAAAGGTCTTTTATTGCTCTTTAACACGAACTGGTACAGCACAGCTAGAAGTGGCACTGACCAATATCTAACTGATACTGGCTTGTTCACAAGCTCTTCAGACTCAATGTAAATTTCCCATCTTTTCTGCTCTGTGTGACCTTTTGAAAGCAGGGGCTGATTCTGGACATCGGAGAAGACTGAGGTCAACAAGAAGACCAACTGGGTTTCAGCAGGCTACAATCTTTGACCCAGTCTTGCAGTGACTTAGAAACCATTTTTCTTACCATGTTAAGCTCTCACAGCCTCTTGCAAACCCTGGAAAATAGCCAGACCTATCGCATCCTCTTGGAGATTAGCTAGTTTCCAAAGATTTAATGACTATTCAGGGAATTTTTAAGAGGATAAAATTACACAATTGTATAGTGCATTGCATTCTAGAGAACCCCAAGCCAGATTTCAGTTATTTTTAAAGAAAATAAGCCATTTTTGAACTACGGAAGCTCTATTCCTTCCAAGCAATTAAGCAAGTAATTATATTGGACTCCAATAACCTAAAATCAGCCAAGGCATTTGAAAAACAAAATGGTTAAAGGAAAACAACCTTTGGCTGAAATCTCATATGCCAGCAATTTAGCCTAAATCCTGCTCTATAAATCTCGGAGGAGAAGTGCTGACTTAGTGACATACTGGCTGCTGTAAAATGAAGTATAAACAACTATTTACTTTCATTTCATGCAAAATTCATCATCACTACAAAAGCACAAAAGAAAATATGGCACTACCAGCCAGGTCTGATTTTATAAATGCAATGGAAATCATTGCAATTTGAAGGCTTTTGAGGAGGGAAAAGCCTTTCATTTTCCTAATCCAATCTCTGTTCCTACAGTATTATCCTCTTCTTTTAGCATTTCTTTAGCAGGAAGAATGGAAAAGGTTAGAAATTATTACTTTTTTCATCCTATCCTTTAGTTTGCTCATCTTTGTAGAGGTGTAACTCCTTCTTAATGGGTTCATCTGTCGTGGAACTGCTCCCCACAGCACTCCAAGGCTTTAGAAGCCACATACATTTGGGTTTTGCTCACAGTATAGCTGCCAAATTAAGACCAGGTAGGCTGACAAGGTCCCTAAAAGGTTCAGACCAGCCCTCTCTGCCTGTTCCATTTTGATATACCCTGCAACAAAGACCTGACTATTGCAAAGTTAATCACTGTCTTCGGTTGTGCAATGAAAAGTGTGATCTCGTTGGCACTTTGTAATCAGAATTTACAGTATGGAAAAATTCAGGATTGCAAGTCTAGTTTTATGAATTCCCATATCTGTTATGTTGTCTAGAAGCCACCACAATGATCTCTAACTGATAACCCCTCTAGCGACCATGACAATCCACAGAGTTGTAATTTGGTAAATTATATTCCACTGTCAGAAGACAAAAGCCACAAGTGCCCTCCATTTTCCACTATCACTTTCTTTCCTGGATCTGGATGGGATAAATCTTTTAGCCACAAATGAAAAATGGCTTGGTCTCTCTCTTGCTCACTGGAGCCACATATCTACGTGGCAAGGCAGACAATAGTCAATTACTAAGGAATGATATGCTATTGTGTTCAACTGCTTTGTTATTTATAGCCATTCCAAAGAACCTGGCCAAATTTATGGAGGTTCCCCAAAAATGCAGAGAATATTTAAATCATGGGCCTGATGTGTTTAAGCATCAGTTTTCTCTCAGTGCAGCAGACATATTAAAGTTAGAAAGTGTTGAGCGAAGACAACCTTCCCTCTCTTCTCTTGCACAGTTATATAATGATGAAATTTTATGATGAAATTGCACGATACAATGTATGGTGCAATCAAGTAATGAAAGGTTCTAGTGAAATGAAAAACACAAAGA